CCTTATATTTCTACCTGACTCCGTATTGGTAATTTCCTACTATACCTAGTAGAATCTGAGGATCCTTGATTATTTTTGTTGTGAGTGCTTTTTTATACTCGTATATGAATACTATTATATATAAGCACAGAATTGTAGTGCACTTACTGAAATAGTGTGAGAATGATGTCCCCCATAGAAGAGACATCAGCAGTGCTCCATTCAATTTTCTATTTGTCTATCACTTCAATTTTTTAAATTTTTTTTATTAGTTCAAGTTAGGGAACAAGTTGTTTCAATGTAAGTCCCTTCTCCCTCTCCCTCCCCTCACCCCCATCCCTCCTCCTCCATCCCCAACCTTAGCCCCCACCCCATCCACCCACCACTCCCCAGACAGGGTGGGGCCCTCAACGGGGGCTCTGCAGTTTTGATTATGGGACTTTTATAGAGTTCCACATAGGAGTCTAAGAGTTTTTCTATAAGGCTGTGCCCATGGCCTTCTGTAAATATTCATGTGGGATAGATGACTTCCAAAATGATGCACAGTCCTCTGGAGTTTTAATAAAAGCAGTTAGTATGAGACTTATAACTAATGGGTATTCTGTGATGTGTTTTTAGAGACTGGTCAAGACCTCAGGTTGTCTCAAAGGGAGCTTCAAGAACACATTTGTCCATATTTGTGTTAGTTACAGGATAACCCTGACTCAGGGCACAGGGCATCTGATCTTTCTCTCCATAGGCAATGCTGATGCTGATGCTATTCTGATTTTCTTATCTGCATATATTTCTTATAGGTGCTTGGGTAAGAAATCATGGCATCCTTAGTAAGTCTATTAAAGATGAGTTCATACAATGTATATAATAAGGCCTGGACATTAATATGGAATCTATAAAAATTGATGGACTGCTTGTGCGAGGATTCACTTCCTTTACTTTTGATATGTCAGCTTAGTACTAAGCATAACACTTCTTTTGCGATTGCAGACCAAGAAAGGATGGACACTCCCAAACTGCAGACAAAGTGGACGTCATTGAAGCTGAAGTATCTGTTAGTACTGTGGACAAAAGAATGGGAAGAATTTCTTGCAAAGCTGTATCTTAGCATACCTCTTAACCTGACTTGTTTTCATAATCCTCTTCAGAGAGCAGAGTGACCCTGAGCATATCACGAATGAAGGCTTGCTGATAAACTATATCAATAATGAACTGAAGCTAACACACTGCAAATCATATGATCTTGGATATCCAATCAGTGAAGATGCCTACCATTTTGTCCTCACACTTTTTTGATATTTCTAGTAAGATCTGAGGCAGTGTACAGTTTTGAGGGGAACCTCAGTTATTTGTTAAGACTTCATTTTTATCTGTGTATATATAGCATGTATTCTTCCTTTTCTCCTGCTTGTCCACATACACTGAGTTAAAACATAAATAGGTCACTGCAAACCTGAGTAAATCTTTTATTCTCTATCCTTGTTACTATAACTAATGTTTCCATCACTCACATACATAATGGCAGAAGTGTCGTCAAAAGTGATCTAGGTCATTTTTGTTGTGTCCACCATGGTGATATGGAAGGATCCTATATTATAAGATCTCTTTTTCTAAGTGTAACTCTTGTCACTGAACTTCTGTAATACTCTAAGGTTCAAGAAACACCAGGGTGACCTTGAGATTGGCATATATACATAAGATTTCAATGATTCCTCTTTCTGAGGTACACCAAAACAGCACAGTGAAATGGATAATACTAGCAGTGAGACCAAAGACCATTGCTGGTATCCAGGTTAATGATGTTCAGGATTTCTGTCATGGCACTGAACCTCTGATCTTTAGTAAGTACCAATGGTGTCCCTCGTCCTTCTTGTCACTGTGCTTTTGTTAACATTAATAAGGTAATAATTGATGGGATAATAAATCCTTAGCAATTCTCATTACTAAGAATGAATTCTTTTTATATGGTACAGAAAATTCATGTTAAAAGCCTGTGCGGTCTAAAGGGTTGGTTTTGTCCTGAGTGGTCATTGTTGAAGTGGCAGCACCTTAGTAAACACTGTGTGTTCAGGAAGGCATTCTGATTATATAACCTGTCAACCTTAACAAAAGCACAAATTTCCAGATAGAAGTGAAGTGTTTCCTAACAGTGATGGTAGACAGTAGAGTAAAAAGCACATTGCATCCTCAAACACTTTTGAATGTTGTTGTTTTCACGAACTCCCTGCAAGAAATCACAGTTATCTGAAAATATTACTAAGAAAACCTTGCTAATAAGCAGATACATGATAAGGTTGTCAAAGCACACTGTAGACTGCCTCATGCTCCACACCCAGGTCACTAAAGAGAACATAAATAACAGTGTTCCCATATTTCTTTACAACCTCCTGATGAGCTTTTGGCTAAGATGTGAAATGACTGACGCTCTATTCACTCATCAGAAGCCTTCATATTTTCAGACGTACATTGAACAAATGATTTGCAAACTGTCCTGTGTCCCCTTGAAAATGGCACCTGTGCAGATAGCAGTACATCTCTCAAATACAAAGGAACTACTTTTATTATGTTCTTGCTGACTGGCAACTTGAGGTTAATGTTCCTAGGTTTCGACGATAAGCAGGGATCCTGATAATTTTCATAGTATAGGTAACCAAGACATTTATTACTGGAGTTTCAGCATATTTCCTAAGGTACTATGAATTCTTTTAAAATGTTTTATTCAGGGGCGGGAGAGGGAGTGGGAGAGGGGAATTACATGTGAAACAAGCCTGTTCCCTAACTTGAATTAATAATAAAAAATAAAAAAAAGAAAAGAAAAAAATGTTTTATTCATGCCTGTTTGCAAATATAAAGGAGCTGTAGATAGACATAGAATTGACGCAGTGGCTTGGATAATTACAATTATCCAATGTACCAAATAGTTTTACAAAGATACATTTTTCAGAGATTGGTAAGGATACCACAATGACTCAGAAAAGATTATCAAGTAGAACATTGCTAGTTTCATGGTCTAGTTGGCTGGAGGATGTGGTGTAAAAGTGTCTTGTGCTTGGGTAAAGTATTGCTGATTTCCTGGACCCTTTTCTTAATCATGCATGTGTGGCAGTATTGTGTAGCATTTTTCTCCAAATTGAAGCATTCTCTATAGGAGGAAAGAAGACGCTCATGAGATTCAAGAGGTTAACAAATATCACATGACCGAGAAAACTGCAACTTTCAGGTTTGTTGAAGCACGACTCGCACCCCAGCTTTCTAGAAGCAGTAAGGAACTATTGGGGAAGGAGATTCTGACAAGCCTAGCTATAGAAATCTCTCTGAACCTGTGAAGCTGCCTGTAAGGCATACAGAGAGAGTTTCAGTGCTTTAGCATTCATAAGTAGTCATCTGTGTTGAAGTGAAATATTCCATGATGTAGCTGGTATTGAGTCATCCCTTCAGCCATAACTCATAGACCCGATAATAACCCCAATATAAAATAATTGATCCACTATTTGTATTTGAGGCTATCATTATTTTGGTCTGTCACAGTTTCCCTTTCTGGGGCGAGTAGAAGTATCTGTAGTTTATCTCCCAGAAAGTTTGTCACACAATAGGTAGGTATTTAAGTATATAATGACACTGTTCTTAACAATCTTAGAACAAATGTACTTGTTTTATAGAGTAGAGTAAATTCATGTTGAGCTTATGTGGCTGATGAGAATTTGTCTTCTGTCATTGTTTTGGCCTTGATATAAGCCTTTCATATTTTGTAGGCACTCAATCAAGGAAGTATATGAACCCTTCCACCAATATGTGTGCCTCAAATTCATCTTAGTATCCACATGGAGCTGAGTATCCCTTAACAGTGGAGTCATCAAGGTAATAAATGGAACTCTTGAGTTGATGAACTCTATCCTGAAAGCCATTTATAGAAGCCTTATTTTTCCTCTTATGTGGCTAGGAGAAAAGTGAGGATTAAGTCTAGGACATTTTTTTTATTCTGGGTAAGTGCTCTACCATTGTGCATGTCCTTGGCTCTCATGTTTTGTTCATTTTATTTTGAGAATGAGTCTATCTGTATTGACATTCTGTCCTTGAACTTTCTCTGGAGTCCATGTAGATCTTGAAGTCATTATCTGTCTACCTGAGTCTACACATTAGCTGGGATTATGTGTCTTCACCATCAGCCTGGCTCAAGTTAACTTCCAAGTCTCATAAGGAGAACATAGTGATCACTGAAATATTGGTGAATGAACATTGTCTCTAATCAGATAGGTTATGAAGTGTTCACACCACAGGTTACAGCACCTGATCTTCAATGTCCAGGTGGATGAGGAGGGTGTACATAACTTGGTGTTAGAATGTTTCATCTGTAAGAATCCTATTATCATCTCAGCTAGTGAACAGATATAAGTCAAGGACACATACAGTCCCTACAGACAGCCTTAATATTCTCATTGATACTTCCTAAATTCTTAGGGGAATCTGATGTCCCCACATTTTTTCACATAGTTCCGCCTCCTTAAGTTTATGTGTAAGAGTTAAGTTTTATTTTACATTTGCTGACATTATAAAGTTACTGTTCATTGTGGTAGAGCCAAAAACAAGGGAAATGCTGACATGATCCTGAATTAGTGCCCAGACATCTGCTCTTCATCTTCATGTGATCATGGGGCTCCTAAGTGTTCTTTTAAATACTCTTGTTTTTATAGGTGCCCAGGTCAGAAATCGTGGTGTTCTTAGCAAATCTGGGAAATATGAGATCATATTATTTATATAGCCAGAAAACTTAGGTTGACTATGTTGTGGAATCAATTGCTTCTGGATTCATTGATATTGTTGTTGGCCTGTCATTCCAGTAGTAAGAGAGTTTATACTGAGAATTCAGGTCAAGAAAAGATGTAGGTTCTTGGATGGCTATTCAATCTAGTCTTGCAAGTATCTAGTAAAACAGAAGTTCCCCTTAACAATGTTCCCTGGGCAAGAGAATGAACTGGAAATCTGGCAGGGGGATCTGTACCCTGGCACACATTTTTTGAATGATTTTTGTTTTCACAATGCCTTCAAGAAATCCTTGTGAGCTTGGACATAGTGTTGAGGAATCTATGCTAATTCTTAGGGAATCATTGAAGTGGACACACCACAGTTTATATCATAAAGTCTTTGATAATCCATAGCATGGAGGAGGGCTACCTTATGTGGTGTCCATATGGTTTTTAAGGTCTCTAACAAGATAGCAGATAGCTTTGAGAAGAGGCTAAAGTCATCCATTAAGACCTGATTTTATATTGTATATGTTTGCAGTGTGCTTATATTTCTTTTTGATGTATACATGGTTAAGATATTAACGTGTATCTAACAACTAGAGCCTCATATTGTGTCCCTGTTATGGGGTACTACTTACTTCAATGTAATGGCAGAAGTGAAAAGAGTTTTATAATTACCAGCATCCATGATGAAATAATAAAGTTCTTGCCAGAATCTTTTGTAAAGAAAATAATGTTATTTATTTATTCTTTGAAAATGCTTGATGTCCATTCTCTAGATAGCCCACTGAGTCTAATAAATGCTGCCCATATGTAAGTGGGTATGGAGTCACCCATTGGGGCATGAGCAACATATCAGTAGCCCTCATACAAAGAAAAGTGACTCTCCCTCCCCCAGAAACTATCAACTGTCAATAATTCTTCAATTAGAGATGGGACCTTGGGTACCCTTCACCCTCCCCCTCTATTCTGGAAGTTTTCCTACTACTATTGCAGTACCTGGAACCATTTTTAAAACTAGCTTCTCAATAATCATCTGGAAAGAAAAAATTTCTGAGTAGCACCATTAAAACAGCCATTAAATACATTAATTGCCTTCCCAGAGAACCCGGCTTCAATTCCCAGCACCCATATGGTGACTCACAACTGTCTGTGACTCCAGTTCCAGGGGATCCATCGATGCCCTCCTCTGGTCTCTACAGGCATCAGATATAAACATGATACACAGACACACAAATGCATTTTCATGATATGTATTTCTGAGACAAGTCAAAGCCTCACAGAGAGACAAGGTTTCATGTGGAATATTCTTGATGCCCATGTTAGTCCTGCTATGGGCTTCAGTCATAGCACAGGTATGTGTAAGTGATTAGTGTCCCTCATCCTTCTTGTCACCTTCCGTTACTGCTTCTCAGGAAAGGACTTATAGAATTGTTAGCAATTCTAATGATTTTATGATAGACAACATTTTTTATTCCTATTCTCCTGAAGGATTCTCAGAGATGTTTGACTGTGAGTATCTGCATCTGTTTCCATCAGTTGCTGTATGATGCCTCTCTGATGACATTTGGGCTAGACACCATTCTGGTCACAGGAGACGCCCAGTTCAGGTTCTTATCAGCTACTGTTAAGAGTCTAAGCTGGGGTCCTGCCCACAGAATCCTGGGAGATTCCCTGAGCCAGGCTTCCACCCTACCCCAAAATGCTCCCTCCAGCAGTCCCCTTCAGTACTCTCCCACTCCATGCCCGCCACCAACCTGATTGTTCATGTTCCCATGCCCACCCGCCCTCAGTCCACTCACAGAATCTCTTCTTCCAGGCATCCCCCCATCATGAACCATCCTTGTTACCTAGTTTCTCTGGGTTTGTGGATTGTTGCATAGTTTTATTTTGCAGCTAATAGCTACTTATGAGTGAATACATACCATGCTTGTCTTTCTCAGTCTGGGTTACCTCACTCAGGATGATTTTTTCTAGTTTCATCCCAAGGAATGATCAATCATACCACAAGGGCACTTGCTCAGGTATATTCATAGCAGATTTATTTGTAATAGCCAGAACCTGGAAACAACTAGATGTCTCTCAACTGAATAATGGATAAAGAAAATGTGGTACATTTACACAATGCAGTATTACTTGGCTGTAAAAATAAGGACATCAGGAAATTTGAAGTCAAATGAATGGAACTAGAAAAAGGTCAGATGTGATTTTAATAATCTGTTTAGAGACTTACATAGGTCCCCATCATTTTGGGCAGCTACAGAGATAGTATGAACATCTCCCTTGTATGGCTGGTAAACATCCATTTTTGTTATATCCTTGCCAACTTGTGATATGTCTTTGCTGTTTGGCCTGAGCTAATTAGAGCATGGGGGAGGGGAGGGGGAGTTAGGAGAAAGAGAAGGGGAGAAGATAAAGGGAAAGGAGGACATGAAGGAGCAGGAAGA